TTTAGCATATACCAACTTGTGTACAAAATATTTTTTTTATAAACAATAATGCAATAAAAAGAAACAAACAGAAACTTTTAGTTTGCGTGATAAATTCACGCAAAAGTTTTAGCAAAAGTTTTAGCAAAAGGCCATACTTCGTTGCCTTTTTAGTATTGATAGGAATGGCATTTACTTTCATTTTTCCATTTTCCTCATCGGAAATCGTAGCAAAAGGATTGCCGGCAGATGCCATTTTGTTGCTGACTCAATATTCCGAGATTCAGAGGTGAATATCGAACAAGTATTAGTGTGGAAGAAGCCCGAGTAAATAGACAAAGAAATGTAACGTGATGTCATCTACACCAGGGGATTCCCCTAATTTTCTCGCACTTTCTGACACCTTTTCTAAATATTTCCTCTATGAAGCAAAAGCTAAGAAGAATAAAAAGGAATGCCTTCAATCTTTCCATGCGAATCTTTTCAATCAGAAGCGCAAGGAATTCATTTCAATCACGAATTCTTGCAAACAATTCTTACATATTTTTGGCTTTCCATAATCTTCCTGTAAATTTACACAGTACTTAACCCTTCGTGGATCTTTCAACGATATTTTCATTAATTTTTCCGCCCAAAAAATTCAATATCAAATGTAATCTCCATGGAGACTTATAGAAGAAAACAATACGTCCCATGGGATTAAATCTCGAACCATTCAGCTGCATAGATGTGCTCACGTGACAAGCCAAGGCCACCTCGCCCGCTCAGTCTCCATTTTAGCCTCAATATATTCGATTGTTTTTACTTGAAAGTTTATGAATGCAGAACCAGAATAGAATTTTTTTCCGCAGGAAATTCTGCMGAAGAAGAGCTCGATGCCTGCGATCGGTTCTATTGGGAGCTCTCCTCTTTTAGGGAGGTTTTTTATATTTTAAAACTAGGTATTTTGCCGTTAATTTTTGGCTAAAGAAATCAACAAAGTCATGGAAATGTATTACGATGAAGATCCTTCGAGAAGCACTGAACTCGCTGGAGCAATCTTAACTAAACCTGATTTATGTATTGCACTTTATGACTATGAGGCTGCAGAGGAAGACGAGCTTTCTTTCAAGGCTAACAATCGTATTGAAGTTCTTTCGAAAGACCCTGAAATCAGCGGAGACGAGGGATGGTGGGTCGGTAGAATTCAATCCCAAGTAGAAAGCCGTGTGGGTCTTCTTCCAGCTAACTACGTAACAAGCGATGATACTCCTTCGAACTTTATAGAACCTTTAGAAATTTCATATAACGAGATCGAACTCAAGGATATTGTAGGAACTGGAGGTTTTGGAAAAGTTTATCGTGCGATATGGAAAGATGATGAAGTTGCAGTCAAAATCGCCAGAACAGAAGATTACGAAGACCCCTCAAAGACTTTACAAAGTGTCAAAGACGAAGCGAAGTTTTTCTCTATTTTAAGACATCGAAATATCCTGAATTTGTTTGGTGTTTGTCTTGAAATACCAAACTTGTGTTTAATTCTTGAATACGCTCGTGGCGGTGCTCTGTCAAAAGCTTTGAACGTTCATGGTAGAAAGATACCCCCGTCGGTTTTGCTAAACTGGGCGATACAAACTGCTCAAGGAATGAACTATCTTCACAGCGAAGCTCCGCTCAGTATTATTCATCGGGATCTCAAATCTGGAAACAGTGAGTAGACATACATATCTATAYATTTATTTGAACAAAAATTTGATGCCTTTTATAAATTTATGAGTTAAGAATGCCTTGTTTTTGTAGGACTCCCAAGAGACCTTTATTGAAAATGTTATGTTGTGGTCGCTGTCGGGACAATGAATCCTTTCTCAAAATTATTTCCCTAAGTTTTTTTTATTCCTCTGTTATCCTAGTTTACATTTTACGAAAGGAGTATTTTTGTGTGYGTGAGTTTATTTATCTGGGATCAAATGGTTTTTTCATAAGGTATAATGAAGAGTTGATTTTCGTCTCGAACGATGGATGGAACATTCCAATTATTATAATAAAGCGGCTTTAAATTTAACAATAATTCCGTGACGAAAACATCGAAGTACCTGTTCAAATGGTTTTTTAAAAAATGTCAGTTCCTACAAAAAATTTAATGAGAAAATACGCTCTAGATTTTTATTAGATACGCTAAAAAATATTCCCAAAATACAATTGAATTCTAACTATATATATTATAAGTGTTCACAATTCGGATAAATTTCTATCTGTATGATATAACTAGTATTCCCAAGCAGTTATGTTCGATTACAAAATTAGGAAAATATACAACAAGAATTCTGAATATGGGTCGCTCACTCAATTGGTTGTCAAATTGAATAGGGTCAGGTTTTTTGATTCATTTAGGATCTGTTATGCTACTTTGCTTTTAAATGTGCACTATTTAATACATTCAAGTGGTAGACGTCATAATTGCATCGTATATTCTTCTACGGAAGGGCTACTATAAAATGTTTCTGAAGTTTTTACAACCCAATGATGCTTTATAGCCCAATTCAAACTCTTAGCGACTTGGTTTATCTACATTTCTTTAAATACTACTATATTATACTACGTTAGGATTATTTTTAGCCTGTATTGGCCCTCTGTGTTGATATTGAGGTTTAAATTACAACAAAATCAGGCTGGTATATTAGTATAATACTACTTTATCTCCCAAATCTGTTTCATATATTGTTTAATGGAACTAATTGTTATTGTTGCATAAGCTTATGTCCAGACGCATGGGATTATAACTAAATTTACACATTTTAGTTAATATTCTTATAGCAAGGAAGAAAAAACTTATCCAGCTTGAAGTGGGCACAAAATAAAACTAAAGATCTTTTATAATTTTTATTCACAGTTCTCCTTCTTTACCCCATTGATGAAAACGACTTCAACAATGTCCTTAAAATTACTGATTTTGGTCTTGCTCGTGAGATAGCCAATACAACACGTATGAGCGCAGCCGGAACGTATGCATGGATGGCGCCTGAAGTTATTAGGGCCAGCACATTTTCGCTTGCAAGTGATGTATGGGGGTAAGGATAATATTAACTGTTATTTTAGTCTTGATATTTAAGAGATACGGGTAGAGAGAGATCCATGTTTTTCATGTTAAGGTGTTAACATATTRAGGCAGCAAAAAACAAAGATATCACTTTTAGACAATGGAATTATAGGCATTTCATTTATTTATTGTTTTGGTTAGCTAAATATCTGGTTCCTTTTCATAGAATAAATAAATAAATATTTCTTGTAGCACTTAATAGACAGTGCCTTTGTTTCATTATTAAATTAGAATTTCACCTTTCTCATAACTCTTTCCTTACCAATCAAAATATTTATTTTATATGTGTGCTTTGTTTTCCAGATATGGTGTATTGTTATGGGAATTACTTACTGGACAAATACCTTACAAAGATGTGGAAGCTCTTGCTGTAGCTTATGGTGTTGCCATGAACAGGTTAACATTACCAATTCCTTCAACTTGTCCTGAGATATTTAAAGCATTAATGAATGGTAAGAGGATATAARTAATAATATTATCAGTAAAGTTTAAAAGCCCTTGAAATAATATTGAATTAGGATTTTTTTGGTTCTGTCTGTGAGTTAACCATGCCTTGACTTAGATCAGCCCAGGCCATACACTTATTTAAACAGCCATTCTTCCACATTTGACATATTGCTCACTAGCGTGGCATTTCATTAGGGCATCAGATAAACATAAGTTAGAGAGAGTACAGTAAAAAGGGTTAAGAGCTGTTTTCAAAGATAGCAAGTTTCAAAGTTCATATGAAGATCTCCTTCGTAAAGCGAAATTACCAACTCTCTATAATCGTAGGCTTCAGGATCTAGCTATTCTCATGTTTAAAGTTAAACATGGTCTTTGTCCTACATATATTTCAGATTTATTTACGAAACCCAATAGTTAGTATGATTTAAGGAATTGTGATTTTAGTATACCCTGATTCAATAGTGTTACCTATGGTAAACATTCTATCAGGTATCTAGGGCTGTTTTTATGGGGTCGTTTGACAAGGGACCTTAGGGATAAATCTAGTTTGAAATTTTTTAAAAAGGAAATAAGAAATATGGATTTATCACCATTAATTATTAAGATTGTGAAGCTAATTGTTTACTTTGTAGTTCTTAAGTAAGATATTTTATAGATTTGAGGYATTTAAATTTTTATATATTAATGTATATTTATTGAAACATGAATAATAATAATTATTATTATTATAATTATAGTTATACAGCTTCTCATTAATCCCATATAGGTAACTGTCCAATTATTTTCTTAATTGGACAGGTCTTGTTGATATGGGATTAAATAGGCAGCTATATAATTAATAGGTAATGGGATTTCATGCTCCCCAATCAAGAAATTATTAGACTCAAAAAATTCCTCTGACTGCCAAATTGGACTCGGCCTACGGCCTCATCCAATTTTGTCAGTCCTTGGAATTTTCCTCATCCAATTATTTCTTAATATGGAATCCTATTACATATACTTATTATTATTATTAGGTTGTTTCAGGGTATCAATAAAATTAGAAGGGATGTTTATTGTTATCAATCGCATAACTAAGATTAACTTACTTTCAAACTTTTTTTCCAGATTGTTGGAATCAAGACCCACACCAGAGACCATCCTTCAAAACCATCTTAGAAGAGTTGGAAGAAATCAGTGACTCTGCAATAATGGACAATCAAAATGACTCTTTTCGATCCATGCAAGATAGCTGGAAGACAGAAATTGAAGAGATTTTTAATGAATTGCGTGTTAAAGAAAGAGTGAGTTAATCTTTCTATCATGATWTTCTGTTAATACCAAGGTGACATCTCATTTTCCATGGGTAGAGGTGTGGGGTGTGCTTGCAATCACCACTTGCATTAAAAATGGGATAAAATGAAAGTTGTATCATCTCACTCCAATTTGGGATTTTCTGTCTGGGAATGGTTTCCATTTCAGACTACAATCTCATAAGAATAAGACTATAGTAAACTATCTTACATGTTATAAACCTTACCATGTGTTAACTGATGATGAACTGTTGTTGTTGTTGTTGTAGGAATTGTCGTCACGAGAGGATGAACTGCGCAAGCACCAAATGGTACAAGAAGTTCATGCTGATGCTTTGAAGAAAAGAGAAGAGGAGCTGGCAGCAAGAGAAATGCATCTCCTGGGACGGGAAATAAACATTATTATCCAGGTAGGGTAATTATGTTAAATATATTTGAATAAATATTTTGCTTTATTAATGCAATAATTTTTAAATAACTACTCATTTAAACAAGCTTAAAATATAATTTTTGCTTTACTAAATGTTATGTTATCATATTTTGTCCTTCAACAGCAACAGAAGCAGTTCAAACCTTCTCCAAAGAAGAGAAAAGGCGGATTTCTTAAATTTCGATTTGGATCAAGTAGAAAAATCAGTGCACCATCAGGTAAGAAAATTATTCTTCATGTTGCACAATTATAATGCACTGTTGCACAAAGGAATATGAATTGTGATTTTTTTACCTGGCGAGTTTATCACAGATATTGCCGGGTACGTTAGTGTAACAGTGTAACGGGTTACACAACGTTGTCAAAGCATTGCCTCAATCATTAGCAAAATAGACCCTTTTCGAGTTCCAAATTACTGCTGTGTTTCTTGATTACAGACTCATTTACTCAGGCTTAGCCTCGATTTTGTGAAGAATATTCACATGTTCCATTCAAGGTCCGTCAAGTTTTAAAGAGTTTGTATTGTTGAAGTTGTGCATTCTTTACTTTATCGTTGGTATTCATGAATATTTAGACACTGATTCAAGGCTAAGCCTGTGCAAATGAGTCTGTAATCAAGAAACACAGCGGTAATTTGGAACTCGAAAAGCGTCTATTACGGAGGAGTTTCATGATCTCAAGCCTTGGGTACATATCTCAAACTTGCTGTTATCTCAAACTTGAGGCCATGTCCTATAGACATGCATCACTACTATTGAACCACTACTATTTATCCCATCACTTCAAACCATTTCCATGGTTGCTAGGAGCTTTGAGATAAGGTTCTGGTCTTCAATGCAGTTCTAATTAGTTTTATATTTTGACAAAGATTGTGGTAACAGTTTTGAGATAACAATTGGTTTTTATGGCCTTTCTCCACTTAAAGTGCAAATGAACCCTTTGACAATACTTTCAGTACTGATTCTACATVAAGTAAATAGTTGAATGGTAAAATATTTCTTGATTTGAGTGATGCRTTTCTAAGTTATGAAGGTTTATACTTCCAATATGCTAATGAGTGTGATGTCTATTAAGGCTTAATTAAATATACAAAATCGAACTGGTTCATAGATACAGTATTTAAAAAGCATCATTATTTTACTCATGGTTTACATGAAAGCTATTTAATTTTTTTGTTTTCAAAATGGCCAGCATTTAGTATTTTTGGTTACAACAAAAACACTCAAATACCTTACCTGACGTCATCATCATTAACACATTGGAAGTATATACCTTCATAACTTAAAAACTCATCACTCAAATCAAGAAATATTTTACCAATCAACTGTTTCCTTTATGCAGAACCAGTACTGAATGTATTGTCGAAGGGACCGTCCATTTRCACTTTAAAGTTATAATGTGTATTATGTAGATAAACGAAAAGAAATGAGCATGTCAGTAATGTTTTGTCTTCATGCTAATATGAGTTCTTTCTTTTGTTTTAGATTTTCTTCATAAATTTACTATCGTATCTGATAATGATAATACAATTGTGGATTGTGATGGAGCAACTACATCACCGTTGTCTCCTGTTTTTCATCGTTTCCGTCTTCAGTCATGTAAGTAATAATATGCATGTCATCATTTGTTTTCAGGCATGTTTATCACCACCCCCTCCCTCCCCAATACACACACCACAGGTAGCCCAAGCTAGCTTTCTGTGGTCTTTCTGATACGGTGGGAAAAAATGGAAAAACTAATTAAATTAAAGTCTAAGTACACAGGGTGAAAGAGATACTACTTTATAAGAGTCAGCTAAGATTTTTTTACTTTATTTCTACCCTGAAAGCAGAGGTTTTTTTCCTGACCCTCTGTGGGCTGGCTGGTCAGGGAGTAAAAATACCTCTGCCCTCAAACGGTCATTTTGTTTGTAGAAGCCGCCTCCAAAGTTTTGGAGATAAAAACTGGTTCTCAAACCAGTTTTTCAAGATATTACGTCACTAGAGCATGACTTTTTGTTATCAATGCTGGCTCATGTTAAGCATGCATTGTTCAAAATCGCATCGGAAATTTGGCGATTCTCTTCCGTTCGGATTTAAGTGAGACGTTTAAATGGAAACTTTGAGAAATTTGTCTTTATTTAGATAATTGGGACCCAAGTATGACTACTTTATCGTTTATTGGCTAGTCCTTATAATTTTTAAATCTTAGAATCTTTTATTTGTCGTCGGACGTTGCAGTTTGAAGTTCTGTGCACTTGAGAATTGATTCAGTCTGAAAATGAGTCATGTATTTCCAGGGTAACTGTCACGCATGCTCAACTAAAAAAACGACCGTTTGAGGGAAGAGGTATTATTTCTCCCCAACCAGCCAGCCCACGGAAGGTCAGAAAAAAACCTCTGCTCGCAGGGTACTCTATTTCGTATTTTAAAGAATTAATTGATCTTTTTAAGTATTGCCATACATTTTCTTATATCATGACACCACAGAAACCTAGCTTGGTCTATCTGTGCACACTAGTATGAGTTTTATCGCTACAGTTTCCTTCCATATGGCCAGGTTTAGTAAACGTTTTGAGGGGGACCCCTCACTATGCCACTGACCCTCAAACAATCTTATTGACAAAACAAAAGAATATGATTTTGGTCTGAAATGGAAAAACACTACTTCAAAGCTGGGAAATGATTCACACCAATGGATGCTGTAGTTTGGTGGCAATGACTTCCAATTTTTGTTCTCATTTCTCTTTCATTGTTTTAGTTACATCATCAATACATCTTCTTAATAGTACTATAAGTGTTACCAGTAAAAAAAGAAATCATATTCAAGGGAAAAACATAAAGGTTTTATGGCTTTTGAGGGTAGAGGGAGAGGTCAAATTTAGAAGTTATTATTTTTGCAGAGGGAGGAAAACCAGAGAAGCTTATCTCTGCATTTCTTGCTAAATATCCAGTGAATTTTCGAGTCTCACTCGCCTCCTTCCCGCCATATTTATTTGCATTCTCGTTCTTCTGCATACTTGTCTACTATATTTTAAAAGCTAACCCTGTCTTGCTTTCAATGGTTCTCTGTGCTCCTTGCCTCCATAATAACACGTCCAGGTCCATGTTTCTTAYCTTATATTTTCTTATTCCCCTACAAAAAACCACAGTGGATGACCCAGGTCCAAACGACCCCCAGGTGCCAGTCAGTCCAAACGGCCACAAGAAGAAAGTGCGTACGTGGGGACCAAGCTCAGTCCACCAAAAAGAGAGAGAAAGTCGTTCAAAGAGAATAATAGTCAAAGACAGCTTTTCGTCAAGCTTTTCGAATGAACGATGTGCGTCTGTACCGAATCTTGGTTCTATAATTAATAATAAAGGTAAGAAAGAGTCTCTCATTTGCAGAAAGAGTGGAGTCAAGAATCCGCAAAATTTCACCAGCTGTTTCATGTGYGTTGGTCTTCCTGTGTTGATGAATTTGCGAGCTCCTGGAGCAATAGATCGATCATTTTTAACAAAGGGTTCCCAACTGGATTGCGTAGAGTGGAGAAGGACAAGATTAAAGAAAGTAATATAACACAAAGAAATCTAAAGTACTCTAACCTCTAATTTTAAAATACCCTTTTTCGAGTTCCAAATTACCGCTGTGTTACTTGATTATAGGCTCATTTACTCTAATCATTGTCTAAATATTCACCAATACCAACGGTAAAGTAAAGAATGCACAGCTTCAACAATGCAAACACTTTGAAATTCCATGGACTTTCACTGAAACACGTGAATATTTTCTCGAAACTGGAGCGTTTACTTTCTATCGCTCCTGGAGCAAGATATTGGTCAATTTTAACAAACGGTTCCCATCTATCTGGAGAGTATTGGGGAYGGGAGGGTTGTTAAAGAAAGAAATGATACACAAGGAAATGTAGAGTGTTCTAATTTCTTTTCTTGCCTGTAYTTCAGATCAGGAACGTAAAAACGCCACAGCCGGGAGTAGCCCCGTGTCCTCACCCAAGTCATCRAGGAAATTCCCTCGAGGAAAGACCGAAAAAGCGATGTGCAAGATGGGCGCAGTKCTGTCYACTCTCGCCCTCGGGAGGGATTTTACAACGGTAGCTAAGAATATGAACGATGTTCGAATGAGATCTGGTAGTCGAGAAAGAAGGAAGTCTCCAAACTCGAGGCGTAGTCGCGAGGTCGGTAGGAAATCCTGGTTCGGGGGTTCATCGTCTTCAGACATCACCGAAAGTGAGGGAAGTCAGAGAGACTCGATATTTAGTTCAAGGAGTTTCTTACCTGATTTCGGACGAGGAAATGGTARACGTCCTACTTCTACWCCGGTGATGCTCAAGTCTGTTACCTACCCGAGGAATGATTTAAACTCTACGGCTATGACTATCGCTTCAGTGGCTTCGACGTCYRAAGAACCTTTGATTGAGCTTTGCGAAGTCAGAGACAGAAGATCTAAATCTCTCGGAGCTTACGAGTTCGGTCTAGTATCAGTAAATGAGAACACTTCGACTAGAACTTCTTCCTTTTCGCTTAACCGGAAGTCATCTTCGTCTGAGTCGAACGGGTCGCCAAGGAGCCCGCCACCGATATCTCCCCGAGCGATAAACGAAATCAACTCGAACCACGTTCATAAACATTTATCGAATGTAAAAGGACCGTATTCAGCGAACGACGGTCAGTTTGAAATTATTGGTAGTAGTACCGAACRGGTTAGAGTTGGTTCAACTAATGGGTCAGGTATAATGACTGAGAGAGAAAGATTGACCTTGCTGGATGTGAATGCTGATGGACAGCATGAAGATCAAACGCAACCGCTTCTTCGTCMGCAAGATTCTGCGAGAAAGCCCTATGATTTCCAGGAATTAGAAAAAGAACTGTTAGGTTAGGAATGAATTGCACTCAATATATAATCTAATTTTGGATTAGAGCGGTTTTCGTATGAATGGGAAACGATTTG